AAAGCACCAAAAAGTGAATTCATAGTAGTTATAAAAGTATGATGACATGTATTAAAAATACCCATGCCTAACTGTGGCGATAAAATCATTTTAATCTCTGCTTATATTTCATTTTCTTACAGAAGATTGATTCCTCCTTTTCTTCTATTACCACATACAATATTAAATAAGTTCATACATATGCGTATAAAAGAAATATTTAAAAAAAAATAAAAGTGAGCATATAAATCCCTCGCAGAAGAAGGGAACTGAATTGTAATACCTAAACAAATCAAGGCCAGAAAATTTACGAATAAATAATCCAAATAATCAATCGTTTCAGTAGCCAAGTTCTTCGTTTACTTGTTTCTCGATTGATCAAATTATTTAATAATTTCCGATTATTAGAAACAAGCATAAATAGCAGAAAAAATAAGCAGTATACACGTTTCTTGTTTCTTATCTGATCAGATTACTTAAATATTTACAATTATGACACGTTTCTTATTTCTTGTAAAAGCCCTAGAAGTGAGGGGAAATGAATTTACAGATAGCGAGGAGAGGACATGGCCCATTATTATTTTGTAGAACAATTGGCGTGGTCCTTCCCAAGAATTGTATAACTTTAGTCTTGTGTACCATCTCCTTTTCCCTTTCTTCCTGCTTTTGCTCCGCCGGTGGCGCAGCGGAACTCGGCGGCGATGAAGAAGAATTGGAAGGCGGTGGAGGAGAAGAATCCATCATATTCATTTTGAATTCAAATTGATCGATCAAAGATTCTACTGCTTATTCACTTTAATTTGGTAAAATATTTGTGGAAAGCACGCACTCTAGAGCGAGAACTAGCGAGTGTTCCTAGAGCGAGAGAACTGATGACAGATTTTATACTGGGGGAAAGGGCCAGCTCTATTTTTAATTTTTTCTAAATAAAAATTACTAAATACTTAATTTTTAAAATATAAAAATTTAATTTAATGAATTAATTAAACTTTTTTTTTGTTTAATTTATTTTTATATTATGCCCCTGTTTGTCCCCCATTAATTTAAATTTTTGGGGGGTAGGGTAGATAATTTTTAGAATAGT